AAGAAGCCCCATACAAACCCATCTCTGTGTGGAGCCAGCAACTGTATGTGATGAGAGAAATAAAAACTGCATTGGAACTGAGGCTACTAGAGAGGAAGGAGAGTGGTGGGTGTAAAAGAGGCTGGTGGGGTCCAAAAGTCTATGGGTGCTTTTGTAATATGAAAGGAAGAGGAACACTGAATGAGGGTCATTCTCCCTGCCCCACTTACACGCAGTTGCCTGGAATACAAATCCAGTATGCCATGTGCAAGGCCTATATAAGGGGATGGGGGAATTAGTAAATGATACATAGAAAACCTAGAAATCAGGACTTTACTGATAAACAGTGAAAGAATTCATTCTTGCTACAACATCAGAGTAAAATTCAGGGGAGGCAGGATATTTCAGAACAGTTGAAAATACACCAAAAAGAATGGAAGCAAGGGCAAACTGACATGTCCAAAAAGGACACCTGAAGAGAGCACAGCTGGTGCGTGTAAACAAGAATTTAACTGAATGCTGTGGCTAAGGGTGGCAGAATCTGGAGGAGTCATTTCCTGAAAAGAGGACGGAGGACCTTAGAGAAGTGCTATCATTTGAAAACAAAAACGTGTTTATGGAAAATAAAATAAAACAATTTTTAAATATATTTTATTTTATATAATTCTCACATCATTTTTCATTTTTGCACAATGTGTGCATTTTCATCTTGGTTATATTCCCCATACAATTCCCACCTCCCTTTTTTGACCCTAATCCCTCAACTCCTCCACCCACCCCCATAGTGTGTCTCTGGTTTATAGTTGCTTGTTGATTTTGATTTTTTTTTATCATGATTAGTCTTTTTCCTGGTCCCTTATTTAGGTTTTCGAAATTCCTGCTATGAGTGAGACCATCCAGTATTTTTCTTTTTCTTTCTGGCTTATTTCTCTGATTATGACCCCTTCCAACTCCATCCATGTTGCTGCAAATTGCATGAGTTTATGTTTTTTTGATTGCCTCAGTAATATTCCATTGTGTATATGTACCACATCTTCTTGATCCAGCCATCTATTTTTGGGCATTTGTGTTGTTTCCATAGCTTAGCTATTGTAAATAGTGCTGCTATAAACATAGGGGTGCAGGTGCCCTTTTGAATTAGTTTTCTGTGGTCCTTTGGGTAAATACCTAGGAGTGGAATTGCTGGATCATATGGAAGCTCTATCTTTAGTAGGTTGAGAAATCTCCATACACTTTCCATAGTGGTTGGACCAGTTTGCACTCCACGCTCCCACCAGCAGTGCAGGTGGGAGCCAACATTTGTAACATCCTCGCCAACATTTGTAAAAACATCTATTTTAAAACTCAAATTCACCCAAGCCCAAGAACAAACTAAAAATAATCCATCCAAAAGAGACTTCTGAACTTTGATAAGACTGAGAAGTATGTGATTTTTAACTTGAAGCTGTTTTCATTCCTTCTCTCCACAGTCTAGTATACAGCAGCCACATGTTCACCACTTTGTAGGCAACAGAGAGATATGACTACTTTTGGAGCGCTATTCAAAGCATCATCACCAATAGAGCAGTCAGTATTTTTTCTCACCCATTAGTTCCCTGGGGGTCTTCATTCTCAAAATTTGGAGGCTATTTGGTTTATTTTTTGTGCCTCAGGGACAAAAGATACCATTACCCCTAGAACATTACCAAATAATAGAATACTACAATCACATCACCAGACACCAAAGACTGTCATCAAGTAGGATCAACAGAAACTTGTGCAGGATTTTTTCTAAATACTGGAAAACTAAAGGACAGTAAGGACTTTTGAAAACTCTGTAATGTTCCCAGAAACCTAAGATTGAACAAGACTGTGTCATGCTCAGGAAAGGCCTGGAGGAAGAAAGCAGGTCTCTTATCTCTGGCTGACCTTGAGGTTTTGTGCAACCAAGATATGAGAGCTCACACTGTTAGGCAAACTGCTTGAAGATTAAAGGGGTGTCTTCTCACATGATATCTTATAAAAGAGGGCAAAGAAATTGCAAGGTATTAAGGCAGTCTTCTGAACAAATGTTGAATGGTTTCTACATTGTACTGAATGGGGTGTGACCACTAGAAATCAAGATTAGAAATAAAAACAAGACTTTTAAAAATCTAACAGAGCACTCAAAGCCACAGACTGCAGGCAATCATCAATCTCCAGAACTAGTTTAGAAAGTCACTAAACAAACAACAAACTAGTGACAATGAACTACAACATTTATCTAAAACACCCAATTTTAGAGAATCTACCCACACCATGGCAGAATAGAGATGCTAGGATCATCCTCTCCCTTAAAAACAACCATACACAAATATTTGCTCAAAGACAGTTTCAGAAGTTCCCTAACAGAAACTCAGAGTTTCCCTTGGAGAACCTCCTGGTGGTTTACTGTGGGGAAAGAGAAAGAGATAAAGTGAGGAGGAGTAAAACCAGGAAAGTAGATACGCCAGACAGAACTGGCTATGGATCAATCCATGGCCCTATAGGGCATTAGAGAAAATTTCCCTAAGGGATTTCTCAGAATAGTAATATAGTCACACATGGGCACCAAGTCAGCTTGGAACACTGGGAACTCCACAATCAGCACAAGTAAAGTAAAGCTCACCCCACCGTCTCCCAGGAGTAAGATCAGAGTCACCAGCATCGTAGGCTCAACAGCAGAAAGGACTGGTGAGAGAGAACTCACCAGCCTTGGAAAGTATCCCAGTAGGCACATAGAGCTTTCCCCCCAGGTACCTGGGAAGTGGGGCAGCAGCAGTGGAGGTGGCCATCACCTCTGGCCATAGCTGGGAGTGGGGCACACATGATACCTAGTCACCTCCTGTCTGCCAGACCTAACTGACCCAGAGCAACAGCCTTATGGACCAGCATGAGAAACTCAACTAGCACAGAATAGGATCCAAAGCAGAAAGAAGCAGCAGAGAGAGGGAAAAAAATGATAAATTCTGACATCATCAAAACCAAAATCTACTTTTGCCTTAAAGGGCATTATGAGATGCCATCTTACACCTTTGAGAATGGCAATATTAAAAAACAAACTAGCTACAACAAATGTTGGCGAGGATGCGAAGAAAAGGGAACTCTCCTGCACTGCTGGCATGAGTGCAAAATGGTCCAACCACTATGGAAAGCTGTGTGGAGATTCCTCAACCTGGTGAAGATGGAGTTTCCATGTGATCCAGCAAATGAAAAATGATATAAAAAATATATGAAATAAAAAAAAACTTAAAAAAGGGCCTTATCAAGAAAGTGAAAAGATATTGAAACAAAATATGAAAATCATATATTGATATTTTTCTAATAGAATATATTAACACTTACAATAGATCAATAAAAAGAAAATCCAACTTAAAAATGGGCAAAAGATTTAAACAGGTATTTCTCCAAGGGAGATAAGCAAATAGTCAATAAGCACATGAAAAAATGCCCAACAGCATTAGTCATTAGGGGAATAAAAATCTGACCCACAATAATTATCACTTCACATGCATCATGGCCAAAGTAAAAAATGTAGAAAATAATTGTTAGTGAGATAGAGAAGTGGTGGCACAAGGGGATAAGCACAGCACTATGAAGCTGTCAGCAGCCTCTGCAGCACGAGTTCCATCCATGGCTGCCCAGGGAGCGGCCCACATGGCCCAGCGGACCTGTCCTGACTCACCTGCTGCTCCCCTCAGCAGTGTATTTCAGTCAGTCTGCTGTTCTGTTCCCCACTCTGTCTCTGGTGAATCCTCTCACCCTTGCCCCCACACCTCTGGCCTGCCCTAGTTTTTGTATGCCTAAATAAATAAATCTTTTTTAAAAAAGATACAGAGAAGTTGAAACCTCATTATATTGTTGGTGGGATGTGAAGTTTGAGACACTGGAAAACAAGTGGTGGTTTGTCAGAATGCTAAACACAGATTTGCCACTTGTAGACACATACCCAAGACAAATGCAAACATATTCCACATAAAAACATGCATGTATATTAGCATTACTCACAATATCAAAACAATATCAACTGCTGAACGTGGTATATGTATATAATGGAATATTATTTGCAGAACAACACTACCAGCAACAACAAGAAAAGAGGTCATGATATTTGCTCCAACAGGATGAACCTTGAAAACATCATGCTAAGTCAAAGAATTCAGTCCCAAAAGACCACATATATGATTCATGAATGCAAAATAGCCAAAAGATAGAGCCATAGGATAGAAAGCAGATTCATGTTTACTGAGAATGGGACATGAAAGTTACCGTCTATCAAATTTCTTTTGAGGATTTGAAACTGTTCTAAAATTGCATTGCCCTGATGGCTACACACCACTCTGATTACTCTAAAAACCACTGATATGTATACAATTAAAGGGTGAAGTTAGTGGTCTGTAAGATACATTTCAATGAAGAAGTATAAACATTAAACCTAGTATTAAATGCTGAAATAAGAGAATGGAAGCTCTGAAACTTGACTCCATGAATTTAAGTCCTCACTCTGCCAGCTACATGTGTGCACCTTAAGACATTTTCTTGAAAAGATTGTGCCTTGGGTTACTCATCTGTATAATAGGGTAAACAATAGTATCTACTTCATATTTTAATGTGAGGATTGAGTCAACTACTATAAAAATGGTTAGAAAATGCCTGACACTATGTTGGCACCTTGTAAATCTTAACTGTGACAATAATCATTGTTTTGATTACTCAAATCGGTTCTATTTTTCCAAGAGAAAACTAGAACATCCTACAGGATAACGATTAGTATAGGTTAGATTTTTTTAATGAAATCCTGAACACTCCTTTTGATTTCATCTTTTTGCTATTTCAAGGACACAGATTTAAATATATTCTCCTTATCTTATAATGCAATAATTAAATGCAAAATAAATGATCGTTAAAGAGTATTAATTAGTGTTGCTCTCCACATTATTTTCTTAGGCATTAATCAACATTCGACATTGGTTCCATGATGGCCATGATCACATGAAGAAAGTAATGAAGGTGGGATTTTGCATTTACCGGGCAGGTGTTCCATAAAGATCAGGCCTGGCTGCTGCGGAAATGGCCACATCACAGCCGGGACTCCATAGCCCACAGGGAACATAAATTTCTTGATGAACCTGGTTGACACTAGCATAGTTGACCACCATCAGATTGCGTGCAGTGAGGAAGAGGTGCAGGCCCTCCAGCAGCATCCAGGTGAAGGAGGCCAGGTAGAGATAGTGTAAGGCACCTGCGATGACAGCACACAAGACCTGGGAAGAGAAGGGTATCACCAGAAGGGATCATCACGGTAGAATGTGGCCGCAGGACCTCTCCTGCACACTGCCACTGGAGACAACTCTGATGTAGGATTGTCAAGAGATAGGGGTGTCTTCTACTTGCACTTGTCAATGTGAAATTGACCATTCACCCCAACAAGCTTCCCCAGGGCCCACGACCCTCTTATTTAAATGCCCATTACAACATTGCTCCATGAGTTCAGCATTCCCTGGGAAAGGGCTGGGAAGCCTCTGGGCACTGTCACTACCTTGATTTCAGTTCTCTCAATGGTTGTGAGGAAGAGCAGGTGGGCAAAGAAGAGGCAGAGTGAGAGCTGCAGGTGGAGGGAGGTGCTGGTGTTCTGGATGGGTTTGCACAGCAGGAAAGTGAGGGCCGCCAGGAAGAGGCAGAGCAGAGAGAGGCTCAGTCCCACGTAGGTGATCACAACCAGCACAGGATCTTCCTCCTGGATGCAGCAGAGATGACAGTCACCTCCTTGCTCTTGTGGCAATGACCTTCCCACCATTTTTATTTTCATTTTCAGGCACAAAGCTCCATTTCAATTGATGCTCGCCTCTATTCCATGAGGCTGTGATGGAGTCTGTTCCTGGAGACTCCATGTCCGAAATCCAATTCCCCACTCCAACTCCACTCACCTCAACACAGCAACACTGTTCCTTGTGGGTTTCTAATCCTTACACATTTAGAACTTGATTCTTGACTAAAGAGGGAAAACACTATGCTTCATGATGGAGGTAACTTAAAATTCAAATTTCCCTCTTATTGCAAGTAACCTTCTTTTAATTATTGTTTATTTTATTTAAGTATCATCATTTTAAATCCTTGGTAGTGTTTTGACAGTACAGGATGTTCCCCCCTCGGGTAGTCACTGTAACCTCCCACAATGGAAGCACCTTCAGTCCTCCACAGAGTGCACTGTGTTCTCTCCCTCCTCACCCCACCTCTCCTTGTAGATAATTAAATCCATGAGAAGAATTAAAAAATAGCAATTCCATTTAAACCTAACCAGAATAACTGGTGAGAAGGAGGGGGGAAGTAGAGAGAAGTGGTGTGAAATATAAAGGAAATGGATGTAAAATATTCAAAACTTGTTCATCTGGGTAAATGGCAATTAGGCATCATTTGCACTGTTTTAAATTTGTAGCATTTCTGTAGATTGAAATTGTTCCTAATAAAATGCTGAAAAATAATTAACAATCCCCCTATGTATTCTTTATGCACACTAAATTTTGAAAAATTTTGCTATAATCACAAAAAAAACTAATTTTCTTAATATAGAAGGAACTCACATAAATCCATAAGAAATACAACATAACCAATAAAAAATGACTGAAATGGAGAAAGACTTTTGAGGATTAGGTTAGCTTGTATTATAGGTGGAATTCTTTTTAATATTTTCTTTTGCTTTTTTTAAGATTTATTTATTTATACAAGAACTAGGGTACAGACCAGAGGTGTGGGAGGGTGAGAAAATTTACCAGAGACAGAGCCGGGAGCAGAACAGGCAGACGACAAAAATGCTGCTGAAGGGAGCAGCGGGCGAGACAGGAGAGGTCTACTGCACCATGTGGGTATCTCCCTGGCCAGTCGGGAATCAAACCCACGCTGCAAGGCTGCTGACAGCTTCACACCGCTGCGCTCAACCCGCTGTACCACCAGGGAGGCCCTGCAGGTGGAATCCTTACTAGACCAAAGATATGCTTCCAGATGCAATTCAAAGTCAACCCATCCCAAATCTCTTAGAGCAATTGAGAAGAAAAAAATGGTCTTAGAAAATAATAGTCTATTTATGTAATGTAAATTTCCTGCCTCTACATTTTTTAGAACCAGAGTCACTCTTAAAAAAACCTAATTTCAGGAGCAGTTTCTTACCTGAATGAGCAAATGAAGAGAAAAGCTATTTTAAAATTAAATCAACAAAAATTCTCAGTGTCTTCACAAATATTGGAAAAATAACTACTATTTCTTATTTTTTTTTTTTTTTTTTTTTTTTTTTTTATAGAGGCATGCTTTATTTATTTGTTTGCTGGTTTGTTTGTTTTGTTTTGTTTATACATGCACTGGGTACAGTCAGAAGCGCGGGAGGTGAGAGAATTCACCAGAGCCAGAGCGGGGAGCAGAGCAGGCAGAAGGACCGAAGTACACTGCTGAGGGGAGCACGCGGGCGGCAGGAGAGGTCTGCACGCCATGTGGGACCCTCCTCTGGTGGCCGGGGAGCAGCCGGGGATCGAACCGCCGCCGCAGGAGGCCGCGGGCAGCTTCGCACCCAGCGCTCAACCGCTGCGCCACCGGGGAGGCCCAATAACTACTATTTCTTAAAACTAGTAGAGGTGGCTGAAATTTTAAATGAAAACCAAAAGATCTCTGTCTCCGTACATATTGTTTTAGTTTACTTTCGAAAGGTACAGTAGAATTAATTCACATGTAATTGTTTATAGATGTCCTTATATATATTCTAAACTCAAGAATGTAATAGAGAAAGG